TGATACTGACCTGGAACTCACTATGTAGCCCAGGCTGGTCTTGAACTCACAGTGATCCTCCTGCCTCAGCCTCCGGAGTGCTGGGATTACAGGCGTGCGCCACCACGCCCGGCTTGGCACAGGTTTATTTTTAATCAGGATGAATCTTGATTTCCCCCTAAACCTTGGAGTTCATTTTCCAGGGCTGTCACAACCAAACCCCACAAATTAGATGGTTTAAAACAGAAAATTTTCTCTCATGGTTCTGGAGGCTCAAAGTGTAAAACCAAGGTACACTATTGGCAAAGCCTCCAGAAAGATGCTTCTTTGCCTCTTCCAGAGTCCCTTGGCTTGTGGCAGCACCGCTCCAATTTAGTCTTTGTGCTCACATGGGCATCTTCTCCTTGAGTGTCCCCACACTGCTGCTCTTGAGACACATCTGGCCATAACCTCCCACATGTACGCCGGCTAACTCAGCCGAGTGGAGTGGCTACAACAGTGACTGTGTGACCTGCAGTGTCAAAGACTATCCAGCAATCCACAAGAGAGTCTGCTAGCCCCAGGTTTAAGTATTTGATTTTACCTTTGACTACCTTTTAGTGTAACCTAATAAGACATGACATGTTGCTTTTTGTTCTTTGCCTTCTCAGAAATATCTGCTCCCCTTCTGTTCTGTTCCCCCATAGCAATCCTCCCTCAGCGGTTCACTCCCAGCCTCCACTCCCTGCTACACATCATCACTGAGGATTAAGGCTGGGACCACCAACTTCACCCTGCTCAGCTCTTAACCTATGTGCCTACTTAGTTCCGGCAGAGCCTCTGTAACCTCGGCTATCTTCCAGTCAGTCAAAGCCCCACTGCTCCCTCGTAGGACAAGCCTCTCCAGGCAGTGTCTGTGCTTCTTGAGCCCTGCATCTCCAGCCTCTTCTCTACCCCTTATTCCATCAGCTTGTGAATCTGCACAAAACACTTACATCATAAAGCCTTCCTGGATCCCACCCTTCCTTCAGCTTGCTACTCATCCCTCCATTTACCAAAAGAAAGATTTTCTGTAAAAGAAGCAATTTGGGGGGAAGAAACTGTCTACTCTCATCATCTTTGTTTCCTCACCTCCCATTCTCTCTTCGCCCACCACCATCTGGCTCCTACTTGTCTACTACTACAGTGCCTCCTGGCAGAATCACTGGGGATTTCATTAAACTTGGTTCTATTAAAGTTTGGTTCTTCTGTGATCCCAGTGGAAAATGTGACAGAGTTCACTGCTCTGAGAGAAACGCATCGCTTGGTTTCTAGAATAACCATACCCATCCTTTTCTGTCTAGCTTTCTCTTTATTTTCTTGAAGTATTCTCTGATATGTTGGTTCTGCCAGTAGCTCCTTCAGGAAGGTACCCATCGGCTGTGGCTCTCTGCTGTCAAGCACACACCCTAGCATATGGAGGAACCTCAGTGTCAGCTAAAATGAACTTTGTCCTGAAATTTTACATTTCATTATTTTTCACAGTTTCTAGGTATCTATGAAATTCTCCCTATTTCTGTAATTCTTTGAAGACAATTAATGATTCTTTAAAGTGGGTGTCTGATCTTGACCTCCACGGGTCTGTTTTTATTTCTGATTTTCCCCTTGCTTTTCATAGTATTTCTGAGTGAGAGCTGACCACCATACACAACCAGGGAATGTATTCCAAGCTCCAAGCCAGCCAGGTTAAAACTACAGCTGATAACTCACACGCAGTCCTGGACAGCTACGAATGCAGCACCAAAAGATGACTGTGTAAGTTTTAGTGACATTCTTCATGATCTGAGTGCACAGAGCTCAAGTGTGAACTATGTGCAGGTGACAAAGTAATGTGGTGTTAGGAAAGGCGCAGTGCAGTGCTGCTGATTCTGTCTTCTGTGCCCATCACACATAATAAAACCAAAAATCTTTTCAATGTTATAATAAAATTACTAAAACAAGGCAATTTTATTATTACATACATGAACTATATTATATATTTTATACTGTGTGGCCCAAGATTTTTTTTTGTTTTGTTTTTTTGGAGACAGGGTCTTGCTATGTAGTTCACACTGGCCCCAAACTCACATGATCCTCCTGCCTCAGCCTTCCAAGTGCTGGGATTATAGGTATGTGCCATCACGCCAAGTTTGCCCAAGATAATTCTTCACGAACTATAGCCAAGGCACTATAGCCATACATAGCTGACATCTTGGAAAAAGTAAGGGTCAACATAGAGTTCAAATGCCTCTAGCCAGTGTGCATGCAGAAACCTAGTGATGCCTCCTAAATTCCTTTGCTTTCTAATGAATCCAGATACCGCAAGGATGAAGATATACTACATAAGACACATCAATATCGGGGCTCTGTATCATATAAGATGTCATCTTCCTCCAGAGAGGATTCAGATAGGTTTCCAACAGGTACGCAGACTAGAGACACAGGCAGTGCCAGACTTCCTTCATTCCACTGGTACTAAACAAATTCATACCAGCACTCTGGTCCATGTGAGGATTAGTTTCATTCTGGAGCACCTCTTCTTTCCAAAGAATGGCCTTTCAGATCCAAACATAAAGCACAGAGGTACGGACTACGGTGCTTCCAACTTGGTAAGAAGTCCCAGTTTTCCATTTCAAAGTTCAGCCCTATTCATCTAGCGAGAGCTCTGCTCAGATGCTCAGCCACACTGCTATCTAAAGAAGTTAGTCTTCTACCACCAAAAAGAGAGCTTCTTAGCCCTTCATTAGAACCAGGTAACTTAAGGCACAGCCATGCACACTCTCACTAGATTCCCCCTTCCGGGACAGGGGATGGTGGGCAGGGAGCTGCTGACCTGTTCCCTGGCAATAACCAGCTAGTACTACAACTCTTCGGCCTGATCTCTCAAACTTCCCCTCTTCTTACATGTGAAACCATTGTGATAAGAATCTCTGCATTTCCTTTTTCTCAAAAAGTTTCACAATAGCTAACACCAGAAAATCCCAATTAGACATTTGTCTGTGGCTCTATCAGCACCCAGCCCAGTGACTCGTTAGTTTTCCATTTCCACAACCACGTTACAACACATAGACTTAAATTATAACAGAATGGATTGAGATTTACAAACAAAGCTGTTCAACTTCTGGAACGCAGCCTGTTCTGGGGCAGATTCTTATGACGTGTTGCCCTGGTTACTAAACCATGCAAAGCTGGTGAAGGCCTACCCAAGCCTAAGGTTGAAAATCTAAGAGAAAAGCCCAACCCAAATCAAGACAGGAGTCACTATAGGGCATCACTATGCCAAACTGAATGCAATAAACAAACAGAAGAAAATATTCCTGAGTCATAAAAATTTGAAATTGTTCTTTTAAAAAACAAAAGCATTCACTGGGATGTCCAGCTTTTGGATATCTAGTAACACATGGCTAGAGGCAACTGAACTCTATGTTGGTCCTTGCTTTTTCCAACGGGCCCTGTGTGTGGTAAAAAAATACTTGCCAGGGAGCTATGCTCAGATCCCAGCTGTGCTATGATTGAAGCTCTGCTCATTGACACATTTCCGGTATATTGAGAGGCTATTGTGGGCCAGATGCTCTGCTGCACGTTACTGACACGAAGGTATGGCACTGGCGAAAAACAAACCTGAGGATCAATGGGACAGACACCCCCAAAATTTAAAGACCCAACCCCCAAATGAGCATCTGAAATGAACAGACACTTCTCAGATGAAGATGTACAAAATGCAAATAAATATATAAAACAATGTTCAACATCACTGGTCACTTAGGAGATGCATATTAAAACAATGCTGAGATTTCATCTCACTCCAAAAAGAATAGCCATTATCAAGAAATCAACCAATAAATGCTGGAGGGGCTGTGGGGGAAAAAGGAACCCTTCTCCACTGTAGCAGGAGTGTGGACTGGTGTAACCACTGTGGAAATCAGTATGGAGATTCTTCAAAAAACTAAAACTAGAGGTTCTGTTTGACGTCACTATTCCCCTTCTTGGTATCCTCCTAAAAGAATTAAAAGCACTTTACCACAGTGATATATGCACATCCAAGTTTATAGTGGCACAATTTGTATTAGCTAAATTCTTGGAAACAGCCCAAATGCTCATCAAATGACACATGGATAAAGAAGATGTAGGTTTTTATACAATGGAGTAGTACTCTGCCATAAAGAAGGATGGGCTTGAGACTTTTAAAGCTAAATGGATGGACCTTGAGACCATACTTTTGTTGTTGTTGTTGTTATTTGAGACAGGGTCTCACTATGTAGTTGAGACTGACCTGGAACTCTCTATGTAGCCCAGGCTGGTCTCCAACTCACATTGATCCTCCTGCCTCAGCCTTCCAAGTGCTGGGATTACAGGCGTGCGCCACCACACCTGGCTAAGACCATACCCTTAAGTGGAATAAACCAGACACACTGCCTTAAATACTGCATTGTTTCTCAGGTGTGAGAAACTAAAAGTAGAAATGAGGACGAAAATGTGTAATAGATGTTGGGAAATGAGAAGGAAATGTTCAAATGGGAAGGGGAACAGGAACTGGGGGGAGGGAGGAAGGAAGGAAGAAGAAAAAAAGTAAAACTAGAAGGAAACAATGGAAACAAAGCGTTTGCATACAGGAACGGGAGTGGGGCTTGAGAGGAAGGGGGGAATGGGAAAAGAGGAGGCAAGATGTATCATGTACAGGTGCAAATTCCCTATGACGACTGTTATCATTATGTATATCTAAAATGTTCCAATAAATGTTTTGCTAGAAAAAAAAGCAGAGGTGGAAACACACAAGGTGCTTCCGTTACAGAGTAAAATCCAAAGAGCACCTGTTCCAGATTTGCTACACGAAGGTGCCAAAGTAGTGTCTGAGGTTCTTTTTGACTTGAAAGTGCTATGGGTTTATAATCTGAGGAACAGCCACACCCAACTCTGACTACGGTGGGCCACTGCCTGCCCGTGTGACTGGTGTGACTGTGTATGGCCAGGCACAGCTTCCTCATTTACAAGCAAACAGGACAGACTGGAAAGTGTCCCCTCACCTTATGCAGCCACAGTGGTAGGTTTCCAGACTCGCTCTGCAGGGAGCCCTTCTGCTGCACAGCAGCCCAGCAATAAGAATCCACAAAGGCAGCCTGGCGCCAGGAGAAAGAACTCGGGGAGAAGCAGCTTATCTGGGTACCTGAAAAGCAAAGCAGATGGTTCCAAGTGGATGAAAACACAGGGGCTTCTCTTCATGTCGCCCACCTGTTTAAATGCCATCTAAGTCAAGAAGCGACGGGACAGGAGGTAGGAACAAACAGTGAAGATGGAACCAAGAACACAGACCCATGGTTATAGTGAACAGGAGGGGAGGGGAATGGAGAAAAATAAGAACAAGATGGATTATGTACAGGTGCAAATTTCCAATGATGAATGTCATTATATTGTATACCTTAAATGCACCGATAAAATTAATTAAAAACAAAACTACTGAGTGCCAGAGAGGGATTTTGTCCAGCACTGGTTGTAACAATGCCTTGGGATTACCTGGTGGACAACTGAGAGAGTGTAATCATCATAAAGAGCAGAAAAAGAACCAGAGCTCCAAAGTATGAGGCAAGCATGGGCAGAACTGGTCCAGTGTAAGGGAAAGAATGACAGATTAGGGGTCTTTTGGGAGCATGGGCCATAAAGAGGAGAGTTGGTGCAGGAAATCAGACCTTTTAGCACAAAGAAACAAAAAACACACAGCCTGAGGAAAAGAAGATTGAAATAAAAATATAATCAATCACCAGGTGGCAAATCAGTCACTTTCTATCTCCTCCAAGGGAAAAGGAAATGTTGTTACCTAACACGGCAGCAGAAATGATTTACCCTGGAAGGGTAAATGCTTGAGGCCTCCTGACAAAGGGTGGGGACCATGAAACCTGGGTCCCAGTGAAAGCTGGGTCCCATTCAGGATTTTACTGTGACTACCCTCTTCTGGAAAGGAACTGTGGGACTCGGGATTCTTTGTAGCAAAAATGAACACTACATCACCCTGCAAATACTGCTGTTCCGTAGGTCAGGCCAAACCTGGAAGTCTCACTGTTTCTGATTCACATGGCTGCCACAGGAAATCAGACAACAGGATCTTGGGGCCCATGGGAGAGCTGTGTCTCCCTTGCTGTCTGCAGGCACAGGGGCTGGTGCTCAGCCTCTGCTGGCAGTCTCTGGCCCAGACCACTTCCTGTCCTTCACTGAGTACTTATAGGGCTCGTGTATCCCAGGCAGAGGTACCAGCTGCTGGGACCCACCCGGGCATGCTCTGTCACATCCTACACACCATGGGAAGTCCTCAGTGCCTGGGTTCCACCATGATTGTATTTAAGCCTGACTCAATAGTGACTCATAGTTGGCAAGTTGCTAAACATTACAAGTACCTGGATTTCCAAAATGGGGAAGACATTAACACCTACGTTACAGATTTGTTGTGGTGACAAGAAAAAAAAAAATCACCTCTAGTTGCAACAGCACTTGTATAATGCCTGGTCACCACTGGTTGCTCATTAAGTATCTCATTTTCCTAGGTGAAATACTGAGCAGATTGCACTGCTTTGAAGACTGGGATGTGTTCACTATTCTCCCTTTCCACCCCATGATAGGGAGAGTTCTGTCAACCACACATGTTGTAAATGAGAGTTCACAATGAGTAAGATATTGCATGACCTCTCTGACTCTCATACTCTCCTATCCCATTAAACTTTGGATCCTCCATTTTACAAAACAGAGTGGTCAGAATAGCACAAGCCTCAGGGCTAACCTCACACTGTTCGTGCATCATGTAACTTTGTCAAAACTTCCTATGTTGACATCCACCAATGGAACAGCCATTTACACGAGGATGAGCAGCCACTGGATTACAAATGCACGGTTCTACTTTTTGCTAAGTTGCCTGCTTGAAAATATCTGTCTAACTACTTACTCGTAAAAATCAGTGCCATTAGGATTTCATGAGAGCCTGCCTGTCTGAGAACACTCTTTAGGTAATGTCCTCAGAGTGTACGTACCCAACATTTATCAACATTCTTTCTGTAGGAAACCGTGTTTCATTCAACTCCTATCTGGGGATCTCAGGGACACTTCCCAGGGTAGAACCTCTTGGAGAACAAAAATAAAATTAGCTAAATATTTTATATTAAAGCTTCCTCCCAAAAGAGGAGGGAGGAAAATATCATTGAAATTAGACAGAGATTTGACAGCATGTTCAGCTCCTAAGATTATATTCTTTATCAGGAATAGAGAGTCAGAAGAAAAGATTCTGGGCAACCAATATTCACTGGTTACGAATCAACCCTTTCAATCATCACCTTAGTTATGCCTCACAGCCAATTAGGATGAGTAAGCCTATCTTCCTTTTATCCTAGAGGAAACCAAACCTCAGAGCAGACTAACAATCCTCTCTGCCTGCCTCTCAGCACTCCTCTCTGGGGCAGTCCCTCTGGCATGGCTACACTGGAAGACACCCTGGGACTAGGGCTTTGTTGGAATAGGAATGGGTTGGTCTCAAGGGGTGGTTTCCTGGAAATAGTCAGGGACAACCCAGGAAAAGAAATAGATCAAGCCCCAGTATCAGGCATTTTCAGCCCAGGAATGGAAGTAAGTTAAGGAAGTCAGGAGCCAGGCAGGAGCAAGAAGGAGAGAAAGAAAAAGCAGACTTGTGGCTGGGCACAGTGGGAATGAGCAGATACTGCAGAAAGCAAGGCTGGCTCACACAAGAAGCACCAGGAAAGAGCAGCACTGATCTCCTGGCAACCTAATTCTGAGTTCCGTGCCCAAGTTCATTAAAAAATGGCATCCAAAGCTACAAAATCAGTACGATCTACACGTAACAGGTCACACTGTGGATCTTACCCAGAGCACCTAATGCTACTTGGTGGGCAGGCTGCCAACATGGAGGTTACCTGGTGTGGGCAGAGGCTGGATCCATGGAAGGGAAAGCCAGTTAGAAAAAACTATCACAATAGGAATGTGACATTTGAAAGCCAAGAAATAAATCTTTGCAGTAACCCCAGACCAATCACATGTCCATGGAGGACATGTGTTTGGTCTTAAGTTTTGCATCGTAAGAAGGTATGGGAGAAACTGGACACGGTCCCAAGACAAACATGAGAAACAAATGCTGCAAAAACTGGACCTACTGGATGCGGGGGCCAGTGTAAGAAAAATGTGAAAGGAACAGACCGTTTGAGGCCAAGGGGGAAACCATGACAGATGCCTTCAAATAAAGTGTTAGAACAAAACTACTGTGCACTGGGTTTTTATACAACACAGAGTCCTTATTTGCATGAAACAATATAGAAGTCCACTCAGACAAGGGAATGCAACTTTAGCCTGGAGGGGGAAAATTCAGATAAGTCTTTATAACTTTTTTTTAATGTTGTTTAAAAAAAGATCCTATTATATTAAGTAACATTGAGTGTTTACTTCCTGGCAAGTTATTTAACCTCTCTAAACCTCACTTTTCTCACTGACAAAACCTTGTAAAATTTCTATAAGCGTTAATGGAAATATTGCCATGATGCCAATACCCAGTAAGACCTCAATAAATGGTAGCTAAGACTTTTTTATTTTTATGTGTCAGGCACTACGGTACAAGTATATCGGGTTCTTTTGTCACATCTTTTTGTCACATTTCTCATTTACTTACTAGTTTTATCTTCTTATTTAATTTTATCTTACTTTTATTTTCTAAAACTCTGGGGGGGGGGAATGTATCACAAAAGCAGGCCTTGAATGACTTCAAACAGAGATTTTAAAAGACCCGATCCTGAAACTAGATTCTATTTCATTAAATCCTTTCACACCATCTCTTCCCTCAGCGATATCTTCTAAAAGCTAGAATTGTAGCTCTTGAAACAAAAATTCTTTTGTGTAGAAAAAGGCCTTGAGAATCTAAATTTGGTACTGAATCAGAGTAGTGACCACAACAAAATGAAAAGCACTTACAAGAACTGTCACCATTATGCAGACAACTTGTCACGAGATTCTATGCAAATACAAGGACGTTCTAAATAGACCACCATGAATTCCACGTGATAGATGCACAAACTGAAGTGGCAAATGCTCTTTTTTCAAGTAATCTCAAAACAGAAAAGGGACTTCCAAGCTTTTCTTCAGAGTGGGATATTTACTATCACAAGGCCATCATTCCTGCAGCATACAAGTGACAGCCAAGGAGTCCCTTTCTGAGGGATCCATTCTTCCCATTTCCACATGAGGTAACAAAGTACTGCCTTTCTCCCTAAAGGCACTCAGACTTCTACAGTGTTGAGCTCAACTCCAAAACGTTTACTGGGTCCCTACTATATAGAGTATTGTGTGTGAGGCAGAAGGGTCAAAGATAAACAGGGCATGATCTCTGTCCTCCAAGCACTGACAATCCAATGAAAGAGGCTATGAATGCAAATCACTAATGATAACAGACCTAAAAAGATAGAGTAATGGCTGAACCATTGAGGCCCATGTTCTTATTCCAAAGGGATACAAGGAGGGAACCTAGCCTGGGAAAACAGCACAAGAAAATATCTTGAGTCTTTAGAGTTGTTAGTCTGTTTAGAATACTGTGCCTGGAGCAGAGTCCAGCTGACAACAAGGACACCATGGGATCACAAGCTGGAATGCTGCCTTGATTCAGAGAGCAGCAAAGAAGGGCACCGGGTGGAGGGGTAAGCATGCCTTGTATTTTAGCATCTTCCGTGCAATAATCCATGTCCTGATGACTAGCTGGGGTGCAGTGTTAAGCTGGGGTGAGCCTGGCTATGACTTAACAGAATAGGCACCCTCCCTGGTAGGCATTCAAGGAACAGGGAAAACGATCCCATGGCAGCAGAGCTACAGGCCTAGTGCAAATTAGCAGCCTCCAAGCTCAGATACAAGCTCAGTGGCTCAGTCCACTGCTTCTTGCACACATAACAACAAAAGAGCCAACAAAACAGCGGTAGTCAAGAATACAGGCTTTGGAATGAGAATGCACTCCTGTTCTGCTGTGTGGGCTCAGGCACATTACTTGACCATTATGGGTCCCATTCTTCTGTAAAGTGTTGTAATGAGCAGGGGCGTGCTTAGTAGTTAATCTGTGTTGAGTCTTCTCATGTTCCAGGCATTGTCCTGATGATGCATCACACATGTTAATCCATTCAGCGCTACCCACTGTGAGAT